AAAAAAAAGGTATTGTAATCTGCTTAAAGCTATGTGTATTAAATTAGAGAATTCTGAAACTTACCAATACTCTTTTATAGAGAAGATAAAATAAAAGGTGCTACTAGTGCGTTAAATTAAATAAATAAATAAAGAAAGGTATCGTTTGTAATATACTTAAAAGCTATATGCATTAAATCAGAAAAATCTGAAACTTACCAATACTTTGTTATAGAAAAGACGAAATAAAAGATGCTATCAGTGTGTTAAATTAAATAAATAAATAAAAAAAGGTATCATTTGTAATCTGCTTAAAGCTATGTGTGTTAAATTAGAGAATTCTGAAACTTACCAATACTCTTTTATAGGGAAGATGAAATAAAAGGTACTTACTACCAGTACATTAAATTAAATTCAGAAGAATTCTTTTTTCAATTGTATACAATTTTACAATTTTACTCGAAATAGTATGTTATTAGTTTAATATTGTATATTAATTAATAAAACACAAAATCAAATACTGTAAATTGCTTGTTTATTGCATATATGCCTATTTATTATATATATAATATATTTATTTATTGCATATTCGTCAATTACAAAGCCAATTCTTTAATCCAATACTGCTAAAGACTTAGTTTTGTTCTTTTTATGATCAAACCAGCTAATTAACTTAGTTTTATTGGCAATATCATCATCATCAAGGTGGGTACTTCAAGATTGACATACTTTAACAAATTCCTTTCGATTCCAGTTAATTTCTTGTTCATTGAAAAGATCCTTCAGAGCAGAATTTTTGATTTTTCTTCTTCGAGATGGTGGAACATTTTCACCACTCTTTTCATTCAAATTTGACTGAAAGAAGATAATTAACAATAAAATATTTTTCATATTACTATATATTAAATTTATTTACATCTTTACACTTATTATTTCGTATTCTTTTAGATTGACATTTTTCAATAAAATACGGAATATTCTTGTTCTCTACAATCGGGACCAATGGCTTAGCCATTTAATGGTAAGTTAATATATAATCTAGACTTTATTACTTCAAATATATAATAAATAAACTATGCTTATATTATTTGATTTGGGCTGATTAAATCGAAGTTCTGAACTATCAGTATTTTGTGCAATTATTGTTTTTTGATCGTGATAATCACAGATTGAAATATGCGGATTGCTTGAATTATTGTGATTGATTTGATTATCATTTAGAGTAAATGAATCAATATTCTCATTTAGTGAATGCGCCATACTATTTAAATGCTGTAAAATAAATTTAAAATTATCAATTAGAAAGATATTGATTAATTTAATTTAAAAAAATATTACACCCTGTTGATAGGACCGTAGAGTGGGTAGGTTGTTGACAGGGGGGCACTCTGAGCCTTGCTACTAGGTAACATACTCTAGTAATAGGGGTATAGCCTGGGTCCCTAGCACAGAAAGAGAGACCACATATCAAGTTAGACGGCACTTGTTGTATGGGAACTTAGGTGCTAATTGCTAGGTGGGTACAGAAAATCAGAGGGTTTAAATAGGCAATCTCCTAGTAGGTTGCAGGTATGGCAGCTAGTGTAGAACCTTTGGGCGGACTACTTAAATAGGCAATCAAAAGTTGCATATATAACTAGTTGTACACTTGTTAATGTACCAATATGTCTGCAAATATATTTGTAATAAAACATATAAACACAATAAAGCATTAGCAACCGTGATATCAGTCTTAAAAAAAAAAAAAAAAAAAAAAAAAAATATTACATATTGCACAGAGTAAAGTTATACATACGACTTGTCTATTTACTTCATTTCTAGTAGTCTTTTGATCTTCTACTCCAATATTATGTCTATTATCAAATTTGTGAGGTGTTACACTATTAATTATTGAAGTAGTATGTCTTGTCTTCGGAAGCTCACTTGGCCTAAACAGATCGTTTTCAATAATTTGCTTTTCAGTTGAAAAAAAATAGCATCTCCCTTGGCTTTATGCTGACGTAAAATCTTTGCATAAGCTTCTTCATTAGAGCCAGTATATATTATTTTATTTTTTATATTAAATGCTATTACTTGTTCCTTATTTTGAAAATATTGAATAAGTTCTCTTTTTATTTGATCAATTGAATTTTCATTTGCCTTTATAGATACATAGATATGTGCTGCATGT